CCTTCCAGCTTTTTCACTGGTTCATTGGAAATAAGAGTCTCACGGACTTTCCTACCCAGGCTGGCTTTGAACCACGATCCTCAAATGTCAGTAGCTCAGATTGCAGGCGTGAGCCATGGGTGCCTGGTTCCATGGCATTTCTCGACTTCCTCCTGCCCGGCGTGGGGTCCCGGCCCGCGGCCTGCCCTCTCCTTCCAGCACAGCTTGATGTGGAGTCTTTGTCTGACTGATCGCTGTCCGCGCCCTGAACTTTCTTGCTTGAAGCTGGCACTCCTTGGACCAAAGTTCATTTCTAGCATTTTGCTAGTTAAAAACTGGAGCTAAGAGTCTCAGGCCTTCCTTCCCCGGGCTGGCTGTGAACCTCGATTCTCAGATCTCAGCCACCTGAGTAACGAGGATTATAGGCGTGAGCCAGCGGTGCCTGCTTGAGTTGAGATTCTTGCCAGTCCTGTGTCCGGGCTGACGGCCTCTGACCTCTGCCCTCTCCCCAGGCAGACCGAGGAGCACCTCCTCCCGCGGACGCTGCAAGACGTGACGAACCAGGTGCGTTCTGGTGCGACTGCCCGTGCCGCCCCGAGTTTCTTCCAGGACAGGAGATGGGAGGCGGGAGTGTGTGCAGAAAGCCCCAGAAAATTCTAGAAGCAGGCAGAGGAGAGATTTCCAGAAGTGAACTGGGGGCCAGCCCTCAGAACAGGCAGCTGGGCCAGTGCTCCAGGACCACAGCCACGTGCACAGTGGTCAGTGATGCGGCTGGCAGTGGGGGGGGGAGGGGAGGGGGCATGGTGAGACAGGGTTGGACTGGAATTTGGCTGGGTGCTGCTGGCTCATGCTTATAGCACTAGCTACACAGGAGGCTGAGATCTGAGGACTGGGGTTCAAAGCCAACCCAGGCAGGAACATCTGTGAGACTTACCTTCAGTTAACCAGCAAAAAGCTGGAAGTGGAGCTGTCATGGTTCAAGTGGTAGAGCGCCACCGTGACCCCTGGGACATGGCTGGGCCTCTGGGCTGACTCCCTGGCTGCCGGGGGCCCTGCCGCGTCACCTTGGTGTGGAGGAAACGGACACAGTGGGCTCCAGCTAGGCTGTGCCGCCCCAGTGGGCGCGTGGCATCCCCACGCGAGGCTGGCCCTCGTGGGTTATGAATGTGCCTCTTCGGTGCCGCAGGCCCGGGGTGGCTTCTCCCTGTCTGGCTGAGCTAACCTGTGTGGGGGCGGGACGGGGCCCCTGTCAGCGGAGACAGCGCCCCGGAGGGCCAGAGACGCCGTGGAGACCCGGGAGCCTGTGTGGATGCAGCCCGGTCCTCGCGGTGTGACGTCAGACCCTCAGGCCGGCAGAGGCGGAGCAGGGCTGGACGGCCCCGCCACGGGAGCGCCACGCGGCGGCGCCTGCCCTGCACCGAGGCCTCCCGAGGCCCAGACGCGGTGGCCACTGACCTGGGACGCCTTCGCCTTCACCTGCAGGACACGGTGCCCTTCGGGGACGCGGTGCTGGCCACCTGGGACACCTGCGTCGGGAGCGAGATCTGCGAGGAGCTCTGGACCCCGCACAGGTCAGCCGGGGGTGCCCACGGCGGGGCCTGGAGCGCACGGGGAGCAGGAGTGGCTCAGGAGGGCATTGGGGAGACCAGCCGTCTCCTCACCGCCGCGTCTGTCTGCAGCCCACACATCGACATGGGCCTGGACGGCGTGGAGATCTTCACCAACGCCTCCGGCAGCCACCACGTGCTGCGCAAGGCTCACACCAGGGTGGACCTGGTGACCATGGCCACCACCAAGGTGGGCACCAAGTGGGACGGCCGGGCGTGCGTCCGGGGAGGGCGCGGCCACCAAGCACAGGGCCACATGGCAGCCTCTGTGTGGCCGGGAGGGAGGCCGCCTGCCTGTCCACCTGTCCCTGTGTGGCGTGCGTGTGTGCGTGTGCGCCAGTGCCAGTCCTGA